GCGCCTAACTAAAACTCGTGAACTGCAAACACGAGAAAATCAGGCTGGCTTCAGACCTGGTCGTGGCTGTATCGACCACATATTCACCATTCGTCAAGTTTTAGAGCACAGACATGCTTATCGGCGTCCGACAATGATAGTTTTTCTTGACTTGAAAGCAGCATTTGACTCTGTAGACCGAGAGGTTCTGTGGCAGTGTCTGTCATTGAAAGGTGTACCTGAGAAGTACATAAACCTTGTGAAGGCTCTTTACTCGAACACTATCAGTCGAGTGAGAGCTTATGGCGAACTGTCATATGATTTTACAACCTCAAGTGGTGTCCGTCAAGGCTGTCCACTATCCCCCTTTTTGTTTAACTTCATTATAGACCTGTTGCTGGAAATAACACTCTCGTCGACTGAGTTTACAGGAATTGATCTCCTACCAGGGGGACCACTAGGCGACTTAGAATACGCAGATGACATAGTCCTGTTTGGTGAAGACGCTGACAAAATGCAGAGTCTTCTGTTGGAACTGAGTAATAATGCCAGGATGTTTGGGATGCGTTTCTCCCCATCCAAATGTAAATTGTTACTCCAGGACTGGCCTGCGTCAACACTCGAACTAAGGATAGGGAGTGAAGTAGTCGAACGCGTTAACAACTTCACTTATCTTGGAAGTCTGATCAGCCCTAATGGGTTGGTGTCTGACGAAATCTCAGCACGGATTCAAAAAGCTCGTTTGGCTTTTGCCAACTTACGTCACCTATGGCGAAGACGAGATATCCGTCTATCAATTAAGGGACGAGTATACTGCGCAGCAGTTCGTTCTGTTCTACTTTACGGCTGCGAAACATGGCCATTAAGAGTAGAAGATACTCGTAGGTTACTAGTATTTGACCACAGATGCCTTAGAAATATTGCTCGCATCTGCTGGGATCACCGAGTAAGTAATAGTGAGGTTAGACGCAGGGTATTAGGTAACGATGGTAAATCAGTTGATGAGGTCATGAATCTTCATCGACTGAGATGGTTGGGCCATGTGTTACGTATGCCTGAACACCGATTACCACGACGCGCTATGATGACTAGTATTGGGGACGGTTGGAAGAGAGTTAGGGGCGGCCAAACCAAAACATGGCATCAGTGTTTGAAGTCACTAACTTCTAGCCTGAGCCATGTTGGCAGATGCAGACTACCTGGTTGGGGTCCGCGTGACTATCGTAACCAATGGTTGGAGACTCTGGGTGACATGGCTCAGAATCGATCACAATGGCGTAGGTGTATACACTCTTTATCTTCCCTTAAACCTTGAGATTAAAATTGCTTCATAACTTTTTTTCTTCCTATACTATATCCTTCTATACAATCTTTCTTTATATACTACCACCACTAAATTAATTGCTTCTATGAATCCGGTGTTCATCTTGATGTGCTAAAGAGGTATGGCAACTTTATTATTTATTTAAACACATATATATTGGTACAAAAGGGCACCATGTACATATGCGCCGTATGGCAACTTGGACCGATGCATATATGTGCCTGGTCCTACGTTGTAGCTGACTGACTGACTGACTGACCATTTGTTCCCTCAGGATACTGGAGCCCATGTGCACCATTTGTTTGGAATCAGGGTTTTCCAACTCCCCTAGGTGGAGTTTCCGTGTCCACCAACCCGGTTAAAACACAGGACATTCGCTTTTCGTCCTCTCACTTTCGTAAATAACACCCCTGGTGAGAGAAGGAAGTGAGTAGGACTTCCCTGACAGTGGCTGTATACGCATAGCCATGTGAAAGCATTTCGAGAGGAAGAGCGGACTCTTCACACTCTCGGCCATTTGGAGGCATTTGGGGGACGGTCTGAATACTCATGAAATTCACGCTCATTAGTTCACTTATTGATGAATGAAACGACCTGTTGTACCAAATATGTTTAAAACATATGATTCTTTCGAATTGTGACCAACATACCAAACAAGACCTGGTAACTTGTGCTCTGTCAAAGCATTCAATTACAACTGATATATTAAGAATGGAACTGATCTAATCACTCGACTTTTGATCAAAGTATGTCGCTGGTTCGAACACCATCCCACTTTATTTCGAGATTCATGAGTTACGAATAGTCTATATACATAAAAAGTGTGGTTCAAAATCGAGTACCCTAATTTGTACTTGATAAGTTGTGTTATTACATGAATGGTGAATGGATATAATTCAGCAAACAATACTAGAATTCGAGAGACAACGTTTGTATAAATGGTAGGGGCCCTTATCAACTTTGACGAAATCTAGGCACGGTTTTAGAAGACTTGGCTAGCTTTTGTTAACTTGAGTCACTTGTGGTGTAGGCCAGAAACCAGTCTGCCAACCAAAGGACAAGTTTACTGCGCAGAACTTTGGCTTTTCCTACTTTCTGGGTACGAAATATGGCTATTAAGGACAGCGGATATTCGTAAATTACCAATATTCGGTCACAGGTGTTTTCGATGTATAGCTCGTGTATTTTGGGACCACGGAGTAAGCAATGTCTGGGTTAGGAATAGGGTACTAGGTAAAGATGGCAAATCGATTGATCAGGTAGTAAATCTTCACCGATTGAGGTGGTTGGGACATGTGTTACGTGTGCCTATCCACCGCCTACCTCGACGGGCAATATTTTCTGGTGTAGGAGTAGGTTGGAGGAAGGCTAGGGAAAACCAAAACAAAACGTGGCACCAGTCCATGAAGTCACTGACAGTTGAACTTGGCCATATTAATAAGTGTAGGTCATCTGGTTGGGGTCCGTGTGATTATTGTAACCAGTGGCTAGAGACTGAATGACATGGTTCAAAATGGCGCAGGTGCATTCGTTCTTTATCTTCCCACAAAATCTGAGCTCTTGAATACCTCATTACTTTTTATTTCACTAATTTAAATTTTCATGAATCACATTTTCGACGCAAATTCTTTTCAACCACCAATGATACTGTAACTACCTCTATTATTCAGGGATGTAGTCTGACAATTTCATCTCTGATAATGAGAGGGATGGCAGCTCGAACCAATGTACATAAGTACCAAGTTCAACGTTGCATTTAACTGACTGACAGCTCCTCAAACTGAAGATATTTTAGCAAGAAACAAACTCATGTTTTTATGTTTGGATCGATCTAATGAAATTAATGCACTCTATTTAATAATTTGATAGTTCAGAGTGAAATTGCTGAATATCATTGTTATCTAACATAACGAATTAATTACACCAATATAGACATTGTTTTGAAGTATTGGTATCAGCATGAAAGTATTTGAAAAATACAATCAATCAAGATCACCACATAGGTGAACAACCACAAGTTATAATCCTATTAATAAAATAATTCCAGACTTGTTGGAATGTAAAGCATCTGAAATGCAGGATTGGATTATCTATAGAAGTACACAATATCCATTTTCTTTTTACGATGCAGACGTCAGTACACTGAAAAATACTTTCAATCTTAGAACAGCCTTTCAATTAACCGGGATTTTCGCTAGTCTATAGACATGGATTTCTAATTAAAGATTCCGGCTAAAGTTAAGGACCCCGAAATAACGTATTCTAGATTGCAGAATAAATAAGTCAACTCAATCGCCAGGTACTTGGGCATGAGTTGCACTCTAAGTGAGAGGGCCAATGGTACTATTCAGTTACTGAAACCAAAATGGACGTAATGGGGTTTGAACTTGGAATTTAGCGGCTGGAAGTCGGACTCCTTAACCACGGAGTTACCGATTCAACTTCGCATGGAACTTATTTCTAAAATTCTAACTCGAACTGTACTAGAACAAATAAGCACCAGTGACCCTACAACTGATCAAGCCGCCATATGCTGAATGTTCTGTTGGTAAAATTATTTCCAGCATTCTCACCACCGACCTTTTTCAGTAACTACAGGACAAAGTTAAGTTGTACACATGGAATCCCACTTGTCAAAGTGGACATGGAAGGACTTATTGCGACAAGTAAAACTTGCGGTATTTCCTAATAAGTCAGTCAATATGTAAGCAATCCTACTACCAGGGTGAAATACATTCGAAATAGTGTAGGGCAGAATGGAATCAGGGAGACGATGTTCCTAATAAATTCCGATCTAATAATTAGTGGAATTACTCACGAATATGAGGTGTAAATTAAAAATTCTGATTGCATTCGCAAGCGTATACGAGAGGTGGAATAAGTACTGTTTTCCAGGGCGTGAACAGAAACCACGATGCTTTATGATTGAGAAACTTAGAATGACTTTTGAAAATAAATAGTTTTGAACCCTTAAGATTATTCATGGGCCTAAAAGAACAAAAGCAGAGAACGTCTGATAAACTCTACATATAGAACCTAAATACACTGGCACCTTGAAACCACGAGGACAATACTTTGTATTATCAGGAACCGAATAAACTCAAGGCACCTTCTGAAGTAAAATTTTACAGCGTATCGCATAACAAGGCTATTTATAGCCTGTCTGAGTATAGCTCCTACCAAAGCCTCGGCACCGATACATACTACGAAATACAGCGAAAAAAGAAATATCATCTTATAGACAGAATACTATTAAATCTAAAAATCTGCTGCTTACTAAATGTGGAGGCTGGACGCTGTGAGCAGAAGCCCCGGTCTCCAGGTTTTACAGTTCTAAAGAGCTCCGGGGTTTTCCACAAAGTTATGAGGAATTTTGTTGTTTCTTGCAAGTCTGGGGAAATATTGGGGGAAACCTGAAATTTCCCAAACTATTGAGGACTTCTCCGAAACGAGTTGATGTTAAGGGGAAAATTCAAGACCACAGAAAATTCCGGGGTTTCCTCAGCGTCTCAAAATTCCCTATTGAGGCTCCCTCAATATTTCTCAACAACCAACAAAACGTTCCCTAAAATCGGGAAATTGGGGCTATAGGGTTCTGCAATGCCCAGATACAATAAAAGGTGCAAATCATCGTGAAAAAAGGCTGGTTCCAAAAATACAAAAACAATAACATGCAGTAAAAATATGGTGAACTTGCAATTCTAGGCCTGTTAATACTAGTACACAATCACGAATAACAAAGACTGCAGTATCACGGAAAGTGAATTTGAATTGCGTACTTGATGTACAACGGACAAAGTGCCTCGAAAAAACAATACTTTTATAATTTAATCAGGTGATGTAATTGGATTATTCTACATTTTTAGCACATTTAAAAACACAATCAGCCCTGAACTGACTTTTCATTGGTTGAAATTAAAAATTAGTTTCGACAGTATCCAAGTTCACATCAGATTCAGTTTGGAAAGGACAGGAGGCCAGGTGGCCTGAGTTAGTCCTGGCAATCGTTGTTTCTCAGTGGGTTTAACTTTCCTTCGAAAGTATCGACAGGTCGAGCTCCAATTACGAGTTGAGGTAATGAATTCCATTCGTTGATGATTTGGTGGGAAAACCGATAGTCAGCTGACAAGTAATTTGTTCTGGGAGTATGATTTCATATTCAGATTTGTGTGATAAAGACAGAAGGCCTGCTGCGTATGTTACCTCTTCCCTAGTATGCTGATATGTCTAGTCTTCTCTTGAATGAGTCGACTGAAGATGCAGACACCACTGCTTCGGGTAACAGATTCCAAGAATTGACGACTCGATGTGAAAACCTGTATACCACGGGTATTTTGTTTGTTCCCAACTTTTCTACTGGCCTGATCTGGTGGGGGAAAAAGTGGACATATAGTGTCACAAATCATTTCTTAGTATCCTATATATCAAAACCAGATCACCTCTTAGTATGTGATAGGACTGTAGCTGTAAATAATTTCCCAAAATCAATAGCTTTCTAAGTGTTCGACATTGGGTGCTGACCACGTTGTTTAAGTGGACTTGTTTAACTGAAGGCTTTCGGTCATGCATCCGCACCAGATCACGTTGCAACCTGGCGTGGGACACAGCGCCTACGTTTCACTAGTCAGTTAATAACGAACGCCTCTCGATATATTGGTAACGTATCAAATATATCTTTCCTACCTCTTCTCGTCTGACTTCTGGTTTCTATTCGGCCAAAAGGGTTTCGATTATAGAAGGTGCTACTGGTAGCTAGTTGTAAAACTAGAATATCCGTCGTATCTTCAGTGGTGAGCCTAACGTGATCTGGTACACCAAGCCAATAAACTGTGAGTCCGTTCCTTTTTGGAATATTATTATTCATTGTTATTCTTTATTTTAATTTTACATATTGTGATATACTTTTTTCGCGAATTTTTTTTCCCGGATATATTTTAATAAGACATTTTTCGTTAACTATATTACTATGACGGAACACTGACCTTAGGTTTTTAAGTTAAAGTCTATTCCCTCTATTTTGATTCAGTTAACGCCATTTTGGCCTGACAATATTGAGTCCTGGTTCTGCTGCGCAGAAGCTGATTTTTGCATGCATGGAATCACGAACTCGCGCACACGATTCCTCGCGGTAGTTAAGGCGTTACCGCGCGAGTTTAACAGGTATGTAACACCTAGTATGTTTACTAGTGATGTTCCCGAACCTTACGAAACTCTCAAATGTTCGATTCTAAAACGTGGAAACCTAACCGACCGACAACGGTTAGACCAACTCTTCCATAACATCGACCTGCAACATGGTTCTGTGATAGACATTTTGCTAAGAATGAAAGAGGTTATCGGTCAACGAACTTTCGATGATGGCCTATTCAGACAATTTTTCTTGTCTAAAATTCCTCAATAGGTGCAGACAGTGCTCGTCTCGTTTAAAAACAACGCGATAGACGAGCTGGCTGCATCTGTCGACTGCATCTTAAAAATTACAAAATCATCTAAGGCCGAAGTTTTTTCCGTCAGAGAAAAACCTCAATCGACCCCGACTGACATAGCCGAACTATGTCACACGCTTACACGATATTTTAGAGTTCGTAATAACCGTAGTCGGTCAAAAACCTCGCGTAGAAGTGTCTCACGTAGGCGATCTGTCTCTCGACCACAAGAGACAGATAATCCCGACTGGTGCTGGTATCATAATCAGTACGGTAAGTCTTCCAGAAATTTCAGGAAACCCTACAATTATCCGACCTCAAAATCGAATGACACGAAAAACAGTTCGGGAAACTTCCCAGCCGGCACGCGTTAACGGCAACCGTAGCCGGCGAACACAGCCGTCTATTATACGTCACGGATGTGACTACGAAAGTTTGCTACCTCGTCGACACCGGCGCAAAAGTTAGCGTTCTTCCAGCAAATCCCGACGACAGACTTCGCGAGTCTGTTTTAAATTTACAGGAGGCAAACGGAAAACCGATCGCTACTTACCGTAAAAGGTACGTCCACCTTAATGTGGGTTTACGCAAACCCATACACTGGATTTTCGTGGTTGCAGACGTCTCTATGCCAATCATTGGTATAGACCTGTTACAATACCACAATCTACTCATCGACACACGCTCACGAAGGTTAATAGACGGAAACATTAAGTTATCTGTTTGCGTAACTCCTTGTTCTGGTTGCAGGTTATCCCCAGTCACGATTAAGCACACCAAAGACCCCTTGTACCAATCATTGCTCGACAAATACTCCGGGATATACCAACCGCAATCGAAATTGCCTTGTGTAACCAGCAATGTTACACATCACATCTCGACTACAGGACCACCTGTATTCTCGAAAGCACGTCGACTTGCTCCCGAAAAGCTTAGGTTAGCCAAAGACGAATTCGACCATATGGTAGACTTAGAGATAATTCGACCATCAAATAGTCCGTGGTCATCCCCATTGCACATGGTCTCTAAAAAGGACAGCAATGATTGGCGGCCAACTGGTGATTATCGGCGCTGAATGCTAAAACCATTCCCGATTGTTACCCGCTGCCTCATATTCACGATTTGACAGCTACCTTGAAAGGTACAACTGTCTTTTCGAAAACCGACTTGGTTAAGGCTTATAACCAAATCCCGATGGCACCTGACGACGTTCCTAAAACCGCCATCATCACTCCTTTTGGTCTTTACAAATTCTTGCGAGTGCCTTTTGGTTTAAGAAATGCGGCTCAAACCTTCCAAAGGTTTATAGACGACGTCTTCCGAGGTCTCAACTTCGTACATGCGTATGTTGATGACTGTCTAATAGCAAGTCCGGACAGAGAATCACAATTCAAGCATCTGGACATTGTTTTCGATCGACTCCAACGGCATGGCATTACTGTCAACATCCAGAAATGCCAAATCGGAACCAACTCCTTAGACTTCTTAGGACACACTATTGATGCTCAAGGCATCGGACCCCTTAGAAGCAAAGTGGCGGCCATTCTGGATTACCCAGAACCGACCACGATCAAGCAGTTGCGAACTTTTAACGAACTTGTAAGTTTCTATAGACGGTTCATACCTAAATGCGCATCTCTTATGAAACCGTAAACCGACCAATTTCGTGAAAATGCAAAATCAATTAGTCTAGACGACACCGCTCGAAAAGCATTCTCCACAGTTAAGGAACATATCGCTCATGCAACGCTGCTTGGGCATCAAGACACTCAAGCGCCCATTAGTATCGCCGTAGACGCATCGGACTTAACAATCGGAGGAGTCCTACAACAAGGAATTAACAACTCGTGGCAACCTTTAGGATTTTTCTGGAGACGGTTGCTAGACACTGAATCGAGGTACAGCACTTTCGTTAGGGAACTCCTAACTATCTATTGTGCTGTACGACATTTCCAACATTACATCGAAGGAAGAGAGTTCACGCTTTTTACCGATCACAAACCTCTTACCTTCTTTTTAAGCTCGTCCCCAGACAAGCACTCACCTCAAGAGTCTCGACGACTGCACTACATTTTGCAGTTTACTTCAGATATACAACACATTTCTGGAGCAAACAATGTAGTCGCAGACGCCTTGTCTCGAATTAGTTCCTTGAACAGTTTCCGAGGAGTCGACCTTCTTATACTCGCTCAGCTTCAAAAAGAAGACACTGATCTTCAGCACGAGTTATTTTCGACAACTCTAAAACTGCATATTAAACAGATGGAAACAGGTAAGGAAACCTTACTATGTGACACATCTACAGTTAGGGATCGTCCAATCGTACCAAAATATTATCGACGCAACGTCTTCAATACGTTGCACAATCTTTTTTATCCAGGTGTTCGTGCAACAATCAAGCTCATAGTAGAACGGTTTTGCTGACCTGGTATGAATAAAGACGTGAGGGAGTGAGCACGCTCCTGTGTAAGCTGTCAGAAATCTAAGGTCATTAGATACAACAAATGTCCATTGGGCTCTTTCAAAACCCCTGACGCTCGTTTCGACCACATTAATCTGGATTTGGCAGGATCCTTACCAGATTCGAATGGATACTCTTATCTCTTAACCTGTGTAAACCGTTTCACTCGATGGCCAGAAGCAGTACCTATCAAGGACATTACTGCTGAAACAGTGGCTCGCGCCTTCATCGAACGATAGGTAGAAAATTTCGGCTACTCTTCAACCATCACTACAGATCGCGGACGCCAGTTCGAATCTGGACTTTTCCGTTGTCTGATCTCACAATTAGGAATCACGCGCTTCCGAACAACCGCCTACCACCCACAAGCAGACGGGTTGGTAGAACGTTTTCATCGACAATTAAAAGCTTCATTATCAGCTTCAAACGTTTCACAGTGGACAGACGCTCTTCCACTCGTCTTGCTAGGTATCCGCAATGCAGTGAAAGCTGACATTGGATACACGGCATCTCAACTCGTTTACGGAACGACACTCCGACCCCCAGGAGAATTCGTAGATCCTTCAGCTTCTTCATTGAACATGGATCTAAACTCTTACACGAGTAGGCTTACAAACGCTATGCGTTCAGTTAAACCTGCTCACACTCGACCTCAATCAACTGATGTTTTCGTTCAACCCGAATTATGACATAGTACACACGTCTTCGTTCGTCGAGACTCACATCGACAACCCTTCGAATCAGCATACGAAGGACCCTTCAAAGTTCTTCAACGCGAACCGAAGTACTATGTAGTCGATAAGAACGGTACGAACGATAGCATCAATAT